ATGTTATGTATATTAGAATATATGTTAATTCTCTTTTTTTATATAAGAGGATAATATTATCAGACTAATCCAAAATAGATTAAACAAAAACACAATCAGTAAGATATAAAGTTTTCTAATATTTTATAAAAAATGTTATTACTAAAACTAAATAACTTTTATTTACAACGAATATCAATTTTACACAAATAAAATTTAAACATGTAATTATAAGAAAAGTATAATATATTATACAAACAATTTAAGTCATAGAGTTCTTTATACATTTTGAAAGAAAGGGTTTCGTACAATAACATATTGAAAAATATCTAAAATAAGCAATTTGATTCATAAATGTTGCAATAATTATTTTTGAAAAAGTCATCATTTACTATTGTCACTTAATATCATGTTCTAACAGCTCTATGATGTAAACATTTGAAGGTAAAAATGAAACGAAAGAACAGCACAATTTACCTCTATCGGCAATGCAGTTTAAGGTGCATTTTTGTTCATTGTATATCAATATTTCAAATTAGGTATGAAAGTAAGAAGAAAAATATGTATAGATTCTATAAAGATATTGTGTATTTCATTAATTCATTTCTTATAAATATAATGAAAATAATAGTTTCAGCTGGTACCTAAAATGTGCCTGTAAAGCTTCCTTGGATTCTAATTTTGAGTCACACAAAACACACTTATGTTGCCTTTTAGCACTCATTTAAGCGCGAATTCTTTAGAAAAACATCAGAAATTTTGCTGGACGGCCTGTGCCAGAGAATACATAAATCTCGCGTGCTAAGGTAAACCAATCCAATTAAAATTAGTTACAATTTGCACTGACACAACTATTATTTTTTCAGCACATTGTTGCTCTTTAACTAACACTTATTCATTCATATGTAAACATTAAAAATCTTTTAGAATTCACGTCCGCGTAGAAAAATCAGTTTTCGGCCATTTTATTGTATTGAAAGTCGCGCCACCTATCATCTGCCAATATAAAAAGAATGGAAGAATTTCGTGTATAATCACTTACGCATGATCATTTCAGCTTTTGAAATAACATAATGAAGTTCGTAAGCAAATACAAGTTCAAATTGAATTGAAATTAAGTAGAAAATGAAACATATCATTTGAGAGAAAATGAGTCTGTTACAGAAAATATATATTTTTTCAATTTATTCTTTGAATTTAACGACCTCGTCTGTGATTTAATTAAAGGCAAGATTATCTATACAGGGTGATTCATAAATACATGTCAATACTTCAAAGGGTGAATCTAGACGGCAAATAACAAATGTCATATTGACATGTGTTTTTGAATCATCTTACATATATAAATTGTTTTACAACCATACCGTGGATGTTAGGAGTTTTTAGCACTCAAAATATAATAAAAAATATATTCAAGATAAATTTTTTATATTTTTAACAATACACTCAAATTTAATCAATAACATTAAATATTTCATAATATTTGAAAAATGTAACATGGATTTTTTGGAAAAACAATTCACTTGGTCGATTAAAATATTCTTTTCATGTAGAAACTAATGTCCCATATATGATACTACTTTATTGCTTAGATCGCGTTTTAAAGCAAATTGTTCAAATAAATTATTAAAATTTTTAATTTTAGGTATTACTAATTTGAAAATACCTTCATTTTTTTATGTTGTTCATTAGAAAAGAGGGACATTATTCCCAAAATATATCTTTCAAACGTCTATGATTTAATTAGTAATATAAAATTTTAATTATATCAAAGATAATTATTTCTTTACTTTATTATTATTATTAATTATTAAAAAAACTGTGGCAGTAATCTATGTACATGTAATATTGATACCACTAAATAAACAAAGTGTTGTTTAATGTAACTCTTGATATAGTGTAGCCGTTGGTTATCCATCTGTTACTCCTTGTGCTGCTAATTCAGCTAAAGTCCTCTCAAGGTAACTTGTGTCAGGATAACCATGGCCAGATGTCGATGGTCCTAATTCAGTCTTGTGGTGAATTTCATTCCATGTTACTACATCTTCTCGTCCAGTAGTGACTGATCGTCCAATTGTGAATATCAATTTCCGTTCAAAAGCTATTTGCAGTAGTCTTAAAACTCTTCGACCTAGATTATTGTCTGGAAGATAACATACTCGTGGAAAACCTACAGCGTAGTAAGCCTGTCCAGGATTGGGATGCTCTCTTCCTTGAATTCCTGAAGGAATGCTGAAATTGTTTTTTTTTTTCTATAAAATGCAGATTGTTGAAAAAAAGGATTTAACAGTTTAGGAATTTAAAGGTTTCATATAGAAGAATAAAATGTTTAATTAGTATAGGTCTAAAATCAATTTTTTCAGATGTCAAATATATTTTTATATTTAAGAACGTTCAGTATCGTATCGTACTTACTCGTAAGTTATTTGTATTGTGTTTATATTTGGGAATCCAGGTAAAGCACGTGGTATTCTCGTCCAATTCATAGTACCAGGGGGTTGGTTTCCCCTTTTCTCTCCATAAATTAATCTGCATACAGGACATTGTATATACATAGGTGGTTGCTGGCAGTTGAGCATTGCATTTAAACATGCTAAATGTAATCTGTGTTTGCAACGAGTCAACTCTACAGTTAGCGGTTCGGGAATGCCAAGACATACTGGACAAGAATCAGAATCATTGCTCTCTACAACTTTCACATATTGAGAAATAACATCTGATTCTGCATCTATATTTCACATAAAATAAAATTGTATGTAAGATACAAATCATATCAAGGTTAAATGTAAAGATAAAAAGTGAATTACCTAGAATAGAATCTTTAAATGCATCATCACTTCCTACACTACTATCTAACAGATCTACTGGGTTTTCATGACTCAAATATGTGGAGACTGTGTCAACACTAGGTCTTCGCCCACTTTTCGTACTGCTAGAATCCACATCAAGTACATTGTCCCATGTTTTCCTTTTTTGACCAGATTCAATGGTTGTAACCGAAGTACTATTTTCAATGCTATGTCTGTTACTAAATATGTTGAAATTGCTTAGTATAACACGTGCTATGTTCGATGGACCAGTCTCACCATTTTTGCCCTATTCGAAATGCATATTAGTACAAAAAGCTATGTATATATATTTGATAAAAGAAAGCTAATTGTGTACCTTTTTATTGCTCTTTTTCGAATTTCCTGTAGATGATTTCTTATGTGTTACTTTTGGTGTAGTACTTTTTATAGTTACACACATGGATTTCTTGCCTGAAATAACCTGTAGCTCTTCTAGGGCAACTTTTACTAAGGGGTAAGGTGCTTGCTGAATACGTCTTATTGGCCTCACATATCCAGTACAACAACGTACTTGAGTTAAATTGCAAAAGTTTATAATATAAGGGAAGCCCAAGTAAGTTTTAGAGATGTCAATAGTCTTGTCGCCCTAAAATAAAAGAATATAAGAATATGAATTTATAATGAAAACTGTTCTATATTTGTAACTCTAGAACAGGTATGTCAACAATTTTCGACGAGCAAGTGCGAAAAGCCATAACACACAAGCCACATTTGTAAGGGCAATAGTCTCATGGCAGAGTAATTTATGAATGGAAAGATTACAGACCTTTTACAGTTACCAACAAGAATTACAAAGACATATATGATATAATGGACAATATAATGTATAATAAAGCGTGTAATTTCTAATTCTAGAAACAGCCTATTCATAAAGGTAGTACATTAAGTTAACAGAAATATGTAGTTCCGTTTAAAAAAATTGCATTGACCTTGAAATCTCTTTAAATGACAATGTAAAAAGAAATCAAAACAGCTTGCTAAATGCCCACCATCATGCAGAATAATTCTTATCTGAAACAGTTTTTCATGTCTTCAATAATTACGCAAGTATTCAACTGTATACAAATAAAATGGACATACTGTATATACTTGACTCTGCTCGTGAGCTACAAAAATGCTCTTATTCGTATGTGGGCTCCAATGAGACGTGCCTGCTCTAGAAGCTAGTTTTATATTCACCCTTGCCCATGCTTCTTCTACGAGACATTGCACTTCCATATCATATGTATGCCAATCATCTGAATCACCAGCCCACTCCCATTTAGCTCCTTTCCCAGCTGGTGAACTTGGAAGATAAAACTTTCGTCTGACATTATGTGTCTCATTTCCATCTTCACTACATTGCATTTTTGTTTTCAAATTTATGTAATACCTATTGTAAACATAACTTACGTTACTTATATTCTTAAACTACAAATAAACTAAAACATCAATATTTTTAATATCTCATTGATGAACAATGTTATGTTACATGACATTGAAAATAGCAATGCATTTACAATAATGCAGAAATCAAAACTGATTTTCATTTACTTACTAAATTTTATTTAGAATTATAAATTCACTTAGAATTTTTCAAATAATATATAATATTATTTATTGCACAGTTTTACATTTGACTTAAAATTGAACACACTCATTTATTGACCATTATTTATCTTACATTATGTATACAAATGAAAAATAAAGACATTTCACAAGGATATATACATATATGTACTTTTAATTCTATGTACAGAAATAAAATATATACATTACCTATAAACATATTAAGAATGGAGGACTATTTAAAACGCATCATTATTGGGTATACAATGACTTTTTACAGACAATACATCATAAAAATATTAAAATATTAATATTTTTTGAATTTTTGATTTATTTTCCTTTAACATAATGTAACAAAACTGTATCATTTATTCATGTAAACTTCAGAGTATGAAAACCATATAACATTAATATAAATATATTCCTATAATTTACTGTTGTGTTATCGTTTTTTGTGTAAATCGGACATGATTCTAGATTGTTTTTTTAAATGGATTTTCCATGCCTGCACGTTCTCATAACATTTTCATAGAAAGATAGGTGGAATATTATATCTATATATCAATCAAAATAATATTTATCGCCAAACCTATCCAAATTTGGGTCTGCATCATTGAGGAAGACCCGTGTGAGTTTTTTGCAATGTGCTCTTTCTAGGTGTTGAGATACTGCGGGACTGTAAGGCCTCCAACGTCCGTGACGATTTTCCCACTCCCACACAACCACAGCATGACCGTGTTCCTGTCCTTGGGCGTTCATTTTCTCGCTTATTGTAGGAATTTCACACGCACGCGCAACACACACTTGCGAAGCGGGAACGTGGGAACATTTTCGAGTCCCCCACGGTCACCTTAATTTTTCGTCTTACACGTATCACTGCGTTCACAGAAATATTCTAGAAACGAACTTTAATGACCAGTCATCCTACCTTTATGTAATGAAGAATATAAAATTTAAAGATCATACAGCAATAAACTCAAGAAAGATCGAAAGAAAAACATGTCAATGGCAACGTCACTACAATCGTGTTGTTTGCAAGAACGAATTGATGTGAAGTAAACCCGATACTAAAAACTTCGAGTAATCGAAATGTCGATAATCGAATTTCAAAGAATCATATTTGAAATAATATGACACCGCGATTAATTTAAAGTAAACAATTAACGCAAAGGCAAAGCATAATATTTGATTAATGGTAATGCAAATAATAATTATTATTTTTATAAATAACATTATGTTTTTTATGGAAACTATAGCGTATAGTTAATAACATTATTTTCAATAGGAATTTCAAGAAATGTATAATGGAATTATATTATTTTATTGTAATACATTTAATTTATGTTATTTATTTCTAATATTTCTCAAGCTATCGATGAAATTCTGTACTCACAATGGAATTTTTCGTTACGAATGTCGGTATAACCTATATGAGAATCTACGCACTAGTACATGTATTTACGACACTGAACGAGTGTTCGGACGCAAGAATTCGCACGTACGAATACATCTCGTTTCTCCTTGTGTAATTAAAGTACTTTTTAACCAGAAAATTGTTTGCTTCGTTATTGAATCATTGGAACTTGAAAATTTACATTCCAAATAAGAGATGCTTTAATTTTACTACGTTCTTTACTGAACTAACCAGGCATGACTGAATCGTATATTAGAATTCTGTTTTTAAGTTATTAATTTACAACGGAACATGAAAAACTAATCCTGTATGTTACGAAATTATTAGTTATTAGCGACGAATTATGCGTGCATTCGAAACAACTAGATTTGCCAGCCGAATCAACATGTAGGTTAGTTTGTACAAGAAAAACACTCCTACGAATATTCAAGAAACATGGATGTGGAAAAAATTGCTGTATTTGCTAGCCTAGGATTCGCAATAGCCGTTGCTGCATTTGTTTTATGGGGACCTTCTCCCAAACCTAGAAAAAAAGGTATATCATTGATAGTCTGCAATTTACACAATTTATAAAATAATCTTTTGTTCAAAGTGTAAAGTATTTTGTGTATTTGCTAATGAAAAATGTTTTATAATATTATAAATATTTTTCCAGGAAAAGTCATTGGAATCAACAATCTGGGATATACTTGTTTTTTAAATTCTCTTTTACAAGCTTTGGCTGCATGTCCAATTTTTATTGAGTGGCTAAAACAACAGTCTGAAAAAAATGGCAAAGTTAATTTTATTTCAACTTTGCTTTCCGTCTTTAAAAGTATGTAATTATCAGTAATAAATTACTTATCATTTGATTAGTATCTTAAATCGTTCAAAAATTATGTGCTACGAATGCTTTATATTTAAGGATGCAATATGCTTACAACAGATATTTAAGTATCACATGCATTTTAATGTTTGTATATAAAAATCATATAATTATTTAACATAATATGAATTGTTTATTTTTAATCAATCAATAAACCTAAATTTTTAGGTTTATCGATTTATTAAAGGAATATATAAGAACTAATTCTATAAATTGTTATTTCATTTTAATTGGCAATAAAGAATATCAAGTATTTTTAAAAAGAGTATCTTATATATTATATATACAAGTAAAGAATGTACATAATGAAATTTGTGTGTGGCAGTTAATTGATGGCTTTTATTAGTATATTGAACTATAATATGTTCCATTCTTGACAAAGGTGGTGAAATCTTAAAATAAAAAGTAGAACCAAAACATGTTAAACATTTGTTAGTTGTGTTTAACTGTTATTGGAAAAAATATATTGGAGTTAGTACTTTCTTAGTTTTGGTGTACATTAGTAATAAAACAATCTATTAGCTGAATTATAAAATATGTAAGGTAGAAGTCATTAAAGTTTATGAACAGGAGGTATATTTACATCTGCTGTTTCTTGTTAGAAATTAATGGATACGCAGAAGACTTGTATGGTGATGTAACACCAATTGAAATAATTTCATCTCTTGGTAATTTATGGAGTTTTGCACCAGGTTATCAAGATGCTCATGAATTGTTTCATATTGTACTTAATGCATTACAAGCAGAAATTCAACCTGTGAACAGGGTATGTTTGAACACAAGTTATTAAAATGAAATCATAGATATTATGAACAAATAAGAAGCATTGATAACTCATTTCAGAAAGGTTGCTTGTCTGATGCTTTGCCTGAAAGTCCAACAATGTTGGCAGATGCAGAAAAATTGGGAGATCCTTTAACGTTTAGAAGCGTATCTTGTAATGATATTGCATCAGCTAACAAAAAGTCAAATATGCCAAATGGATTTGATAGGAATTGTAACAATCATGTTATGTCCTCTACATCGTCAATATCAAGTATATCTTTGGCTTATAGTAAGCCTGGTCAGATCCTTGCCAGATCTTCGGAGCTACTTTCAAAGAACATTGGAAATGAAGAAAATAAAGAATCATTTAGAACGTGGAGCTCTTTATGTGCCATGCCTGTTCCTAATTTTCCACCAATGTCTATAGAAGTACATCCATTTTCAGGATTATTAACTAGTCAATTACAGTGCAGTAACTGCAAGTGGAAGGTTAGTTCTATAGTTTACTAATCACATAAACGCAAACAATTACAGAAAATAAATAAGATAATCTTTTAACAGTCTCCTGTCCGTTATGACAAACTTGAAACAGTTTCCCTACCCTTACCACCGTTGGGCCCACACATTAGAACACACCATACACTGGAGGAATTATTGACGCGTTTTGTAACTAGTGAAATTGTACAAGACGTTTTGTGTGATGGGTGTGGAATGCGTTGTTTAGCTGCTAAAACTTTAACTCTTGGTAAACTTCCTAAATGCTTATGCTTACATATATCGAGAACTACATGGAGTCCTACAGGAACACCAATTAAAAGGGATGATCCAGTAAAGTTTCCTCAGATACTGACGTTGGACCCTTATACTTTCACAGAAACAAAAAAACGAAATGCTCGGGTATATTTCATTTTAACTAGTATGTTTATATAAAGAAACTCAGAATAGAAATGATGTGCATAATAAATATTTGCAGGGTGATCCTGAGGCAACAATGTTGCTTGCTACTCGAACAACACTACTGGATAAATACAAGTATCAGCTACGCGCGGTTGTAGAACATCGTGGACCCGTTGATTCGGGGCATTTCGTTTGCTACAGACATGGAAATAAACCGAATCAGTGGCTGTATACTTCTGACAATGTAGTTGAAAACATATCTTTCATTGAAGTTCTGTGTGCTACACCATATCTTCTGTTTTACGAACGTATTAACAGCACATAAGGGTAGCTAGTAATGAATTTTAATGATTGCAAGATACAAATTTGTTTTACATGGAAAATTATTCAAACACTGATTGTTTTGCTCCTTCATAGGGTTGTAGATTTATCGTGCACCTTAGAATTACGATGTTAATTTATATTTATGCAAATAGTATAACATGGAAATATTGTTGTTGTGCAAAATCTAATAATGAGCATTATATTTTTGAACAGTTGCACTTATATTTGTAAAGGATTTTTACTCTGTAAGTACATAATTACTATTCGATTGTCACATCAAATATGGAAGTATTCCAATAAAAATTTGTTTCATTTTCTTTCTTGTTTCTTCGAGTAATACAGTTAATATTAATACAAATTTTCGCATTTAATTAAAATTGATTGTATCTTGTATTTTTTGGATGGATCAAAAAAAGTTACATAAATGTGTATGTATTAAATATGTTTGGGAAAAATTACTTTACTATTATGTATGGGTAGAAATTTGTTTTTTGTTATTTTTTAAATGAATATCACTCAAATATATGCAACTGTTGAGAAATATCTTCAATAACTTTGTATAAAATTCTATAGAACACAAACACTTTACATAAAATTGACTTTTGTCTTAATTATTTGTTTTTATGTGATTCAGAATGATAATTAACATTATCAGTAAATATGGTTTGCATAAATTTATGGAAAAGAATTCATGTGCGAGTAATTTTTTATGTGAAATGAATAATGGGCAAATATGTTCTTCAGGGATGATGATTAATGGATATCGGTATAGAGTAATATAATAATAATGGAATTGAAGAGACTGCTTGAATATTAACATAATTTCTATAAATTTCCATTACTACACCAGTAAAATTGCATTGAATTACTTATTCTTTAACATATATCACATTCTTGAAGAAACGCTGTACATCTCCCGTAATGAATTGACTCAAAAGCGGAGTGTAACCAGATTAGATAACAAAACAAACGACTAAAAATCTAATCTAATTAATAAGGTGCTTATTCAATTACTAATCATGTATCATGCTACTGTACCGCTCCACTGTGGTTCAAATTATTTCGGGGTAGTTACAGAAATTTTATTTATTTCTTTTATATTAAGTAGTACCGAATACAATGACATTAGTCAAGTACCTGTAGTCATAATTAAGTTTGCAGAACAGTTGCCATCATAAATTACTTCATTATGTTTCATATTTTAAAAATACCATACACTTACAATGTACTTATAAAAATTTTATTCAAATATTATAAGTACGCATTTAATATATAAATATCCAATTTCATCAAAGAATACGGATTTTCAAAATTTGTGAAGATTATATTTACTTTATCGTTTCAATGTAATAATCATTGACAATATAGAATATTGCACATTTCAATCGAATTAATCATAATTGAAAGAATTTCATGATCTGTTGTAGTAAAAGATATTGAAACTGTGCCAAACAAGTCCATCATTTTGTATGGTATAAATTATTGTATATGTAGAGCTTGAAATTAAGATTAGAATATAATTTTAAGTTTATATTGACATAATGAAACATAACAAACTATCTATACATTTCAAATCGAATATAAAATTATTATTAAAAATTTTAATTGAAGACTTCAACATTAAACTGATTTGATAAACGCATAATACATTTAATAACAAAAATGTTTATCAATTAAAAATTGTACTTCAACAATGTTTCCTCTTTTTTTATACTCTCTTGAGAAATATTACACATGACTTTTTTTACCTGTATTATTCATTAATATTGATACCTTTATTATAGCATTAC